ATATATATATATTAATGTTGGGATTAAATTTCATTGAACCCCACTTTCATGTATTTAAAACACACAAATCTTCTTTCGCATTTGATATTAATATCAAACCACTAGTTTACTCAAACTCTATTTTTTTAGAAAAGAGAGTCTATATTTCCTCATAACATAAATCTCTTGAATACTTAATAAACAAACTTGCATTAATAAAAAATGGTTTAAGACAATTAATGTTATATACTTAGATATACAAGTTTCATTAGGTATTTTGTTCCAGCTCAAGATTACAAAAGATATTTTCTAATACTTAATAAATCAAATAACAAGCTATGATTGATTATTCCACAAGAAGCATTAATATTAAAAAAAAATACTAACATTGAAATGGAAAGACGTATATGTGTGTGTGTGGAGAAAAGATAAACATTAGAAGGAGGGTTGAATAATGTATATAAAAAACTCACATGTTTTCTACTGTGTGAAGTGGTAATGTTATTCAGATAAAGCAAAAAGAGCAATCATATGGAACATTAAGTATTTTTTATATTGATTTGTCTCAACCATTGAGATTACGTCCAATTCTCAAACCAAACAGATTAAGTTTTAGTATCTTTAAACAAAGATACAAGTATTCTTTTAACAAGTCACTTTTGGCTCCACCCTAAGTATTCTTTAACTTGCCTCTTCAAGAAATTATTCAAGTATTCTTTTAACAAGTCTCCAGGCTTAACAATCAAGTATTCTTTTACAATTAACCTTTTTCAAGCTTAAGAAATAGTATTTTTTTTTTCAGACAACCCTCTCTATGCTCAACCTTGTAACAATGATTATTAATGTTATAGAGAATTTGCATTCAACTCGCTTAAAAGTTATACAACTAATTACATAGCAATGAATGTTTACAAGAAAGAATAGATTTTCAGAGAACATGTTTCCGTACAAATGTATTTATATATGTTTGTTCTATCTCGTGTAAATTCTCTATGTATATCTCTATCTTTCTTGTGCTTTGAATCTTCTTACACAGTAGCCTAAAGAAGATGACCCTTGCAACACTTTGAGTCTAGCTCACAAGTTTGTTTTTTTCTGTCTATCATCTTCCCTAATGGTAGCAAGTGTTGAGTGCTTATTATACATATTTTTTTGGTTAAGATTTAGCAATCTTTTTGATCAAAATGTAAATAGGTTGATGTTATTTAACCCCAAAATAGGAAAAATTAGAAGATAGAAGAGTAGTAGAAACTTCATGGAAATTTTCTCTCTTTTTTTGTAGAAAAATTTTGGATGTTAGAATTTTGCAGCCATGGCTGTGGTTTTGCAATCATGGTCATGAGTACTTGAATGGCAATTAGGAAGCACCAAAGAGTTGCAGCCATGGCCGTGGAAGCCTAGAGTGCAAAAATAAAGTTCTAGAGACTTGCAACCATGGTTGTGGGTTCACAACTAGAGCCATGGGGTACTGGAGATCAAGAGAAAGTTCTAGAGACTCACAGCCATGCCTGTGGATTCTATAGCTACAGCGCTGGGACTACTTAAGCATGAAGGATTCTCCATAGCCATGGCTGTGGATTTCATAGTTGTAGCCATAAAGATTACTTAAACATGAAGGACTCTTCATAGCCATGGCTGTGGATTTCACAACTGCAACGGTGGGATTAAAATGTAGATTTTTCCTCTGTTTTGAAGGCCAATATAAAAGGGGAAAAAAGGAGAGAGATAGGGCATCACGAGAATTATGAAGAGAACAAGGGAGAGCTCACAAAAATGGGAAAATAGAGTTAAAGAGAAGATCTCGAGGTTGGATCACTTGGGAACGAGGATCAACTACTTTTCTTCATCTTTTTCTTTGTAAATTCTTTTTCTCCTTTGACCTTGTAATGACCCTCATCATGAACGACTGAACTCTTTAGGATTGGATATGGTGTAACTACTAACTCTTCTTTTTCTTGAATATATATGCATTTCACTCTCATTGCTTGTGTTTGATTCTTCTCTTAATGCTTATATCGATTTGATCACC